TGAAACGAATAATTATACACCCGTTGAGTTACACTCAATGTATAATGTATCTCCGAATTGGACATTTTTTATGAACAACAATTTCGAAAGCTTTATAACTAAAAGCGGTCATTGATTCATTTCAATATACCAACTCCACTGACTTACACTCCTAAAACGCACTGTCATATAAATTCACATAAAAAAAAGTTTTTATAACTCTCTTGATATATTTACATATGTACATGTAGGGGTAGTCTACGTCTTGTATCTTGTGAGTGACATCCATTAACAGCGGCATCGTGGGGGGCTATGAGGACCACGTTCGTAGTCTGACTATCATTAATATTCATTTAAAAGCTTACCACACGTTGAAGGCTTGAGATAATTATAAATCCGTTGAGTTACTTATTGGGAAAGACCCTTGGAATATAATATCATGACGAACATATTCCTCATGGTAAACATTTCTCCTATGGGGAAAACATTTCAATGAAATGGAGAAGAAACGCGCAGTGGGAAATACTTTTATTTTTAGAAATTAAAATTTTTTAATGCACATTGCTTATGAATTTTTCTCTATTTACGGATTTTTACATCAATTTCTTTATCAAAATAATTAAATTATAGCACTTAGTGTAGTCAAACACGTTAAACTCCTCGAACAGTTTTTGTTTAGACACCATTAGCGTTTTTCTCTTGCTTTATTTGAACTTCATATTTATCCTTAGTCTGCTAATCTCTTTTGTAAACCCTATCTATAGCATTGAAAATGAGTTTATCTACAAGTACACCACCTTCCCATTGATCATAGATCGTAGAACTTCCCATCAATAGGTCGGGACGTGTCAAACACGCAGACAAACACAAATTAATTTCAGCTGTCAACGGCTAGACACAACCTTTTCGGTGGCTAGGCCATGAATTCGCAGGGGCGCCTGTTTTAGGTGTAGTCCTTGACAATGGCAGGACGCAGCGGAAATTATCAGCTCATGTCAGTCGACGCCACAAGGTGGAAAATAAATTACGCGACACTTTAGCCAAGCCTTGTGCTCGTAAGTTGAAAATTCTGTTGTGGTTTTGGAGTGTGGGTAGGAGTGACAGATAGGCTGTTTTAACGTTGCCGTAGAATTGCCTACATTCCCACAAAGTCACGCACAACGGGCAACAAGACGTGTTTTTTGGCCCTCTCATCGCATTTTGTCCCGGATCTGGCTTGTTTGTTTGTTTGTTCTACGCGGCCCTTGCTTGACAGAATCCATTTGTCAACTCATTACTGTCCCTGGCTGCTCCTGTCGAGAAAGTGCTGCTAAAGTGAAAACGTGTTTCAAGACCAATCCTCTTTAAGTTTACCAATTTTTAAACTCATTTTTTGGCGGGAGATCAAATTACTGACCGCAGCCGTGAGTGCCCTCGTCCTCTGAGTTGCATTATTATTAAAATATTTTATAGGCATTAACAGTGTTTATATGTGACCAATTAGCTTCTCACGTTGCTTATTTTACCTCGATTTTCCTTTTTTAGTTCTCATTCATTTCATGACAAGAACTCCCTTAGGTACCCAGAACTGAATGTGATATCTACATTATTCCCAAGCAAGGGTATGAAAAACCATTATCCGTTAAATGACTCTTAATGAATTTAATTTAATTTAATTTATTCTTCTTTTTTTAAATCGAGCTTGTCAAGAAGAAATTCTTTTTTTTGCCTTTACAGAGAAATGTACATAAAGGGTGGAATGTCATTTAAAATGTAATCCACAATCGCCAAGAGTGACCCAACCAAAGTTCAGAGCCAACTAAGCCGTTACTTGAGTAGTTATGTACCAGTACTCGACGAGCTGTTGTTCTCCCCCGGTGTACACATAAAACTCGAGCAAACGCAGCTAAAGATGGTTTATTTTTTGGCTATCAAAATTTCCAGTCGAAATAAAAGGGTCAACATTGTGATTTTAAGAACGGAGTCGAACCCTGGAAGCCGTTTGATTACACTTGCCTTTCCGGTCATCGAACTACATCTTACTTAGCGCAGAAGAGCACACACACACACACAAAGTGAAGTGAAACATGATATGTTCACTTGAATGGTTGTGTATCTGTGTTCCCGGGTCATGTGTGGCTGAGTGCGTAATTTAATAGCAATCCTAAGTATTTGAGGTGCTCTGGTGCGTAAAGATGCTGGGCCAACACTCCCGACACAAATTGTACTTCCCACAGCCCAGCCCTTCGTCTGCATCCATCTTTCAACCTCGCTCTTAGTGTCAGTCATGGTGGCTTAAGCAATTGAAATTGGATTAGACATAGACTAACCCGCACTACCGCTCGCCCTCCGTCAAAGAACTTCAATTTGCATGTGCTGGTAATCCCGGTATCTGAGCCATCCCACTGACATGTCATTTCCAAGGATTATACAGCTGTAAGCCCCTTTCTGCGGCCCCACCTCAAGTGCATCACTTGGGGTGGAGGGTTAAGTAAATACTCGCTCTTTCAACTCTCCTTGGCAGCTGGCAAATAAATTAAAGCTGCCTCTTAAGTTCAGTTCTCTAAATTACGGCCCATCTCGAAAGTATTTCCAGCTGCAACTGCAACCACATTCTTTAGTGAGGAGATTCGTATGTATCATACATTTATTCCAAGATGTTGCCGTCCGCAGAAAGAAAAATAAAAAATGTGAGTCAAAACTTGTGCACATCGATTTAGCCGTGGGTATTCCTTACCCTACTGAAACCTAAAACATTCCCAGCCCCTTGAAAGCATTTAAAAAGTTGTGGAACATTTAACTTTTGAACCAAGGAAAAGTAAAAGAAAGAAAAGTTTTTGAAACTGAATTTGAAATGGTAGCCAGCCCACGTATCGATTGCAACCAGAGAGCAAACATTATCGCTGAAGAAGGAGTAGCAATTGGGGAAACTGACTTAGTATTGGGACTGCATTCTGTTTAAGTTAACAAGAAGCAGATCAAAGAAAGAACGGTTCAATTTCGGGGGCAAAATGGTATCAAAATAGAAACAATTAATATATCCTTTCTTAACAGCACCCCTTCTGTTATTTAGGTTAAAAACGGATGTGCCTCATACTCATGATGGAGAATATCGTCTACAGCCTCATCCATCCGGACAGGCTAAACGCCTATCCGAGGATTTGTCTCAGCTCAACGAGTGCGTGGAAAAATCCATAATTTAGTACATCGGTTAACAAATCTATCAAGGTTTTTAGTTTAAAGTTAGAATAGAGAGTAATTCCACTAGATCGAGCCACTTCTGTGTAAATATTTTCCATCATATATCATCATAGTCTACTAATTGGTGTAGAGACAGAACGCTTACGGCTAACATACACTTGACACGGCAACAGAGGGTCAGTCGGAGCAAGAGTACATTTTATAGAAGAATTAAATTTCCGAATTTCTCTCCAAACATTTTAACTTGCCAAACTGCAGCAAAAACAGGCTAAGGCAGCAACCGCTGGATCTAATAAAATTGGGTAGACATAGAAAATTGAAGCTAATACTTAAAACTTTTGCCTTTTGCATGAAAAGTTTTTTCCAGTCGAAATTCCGAATGTCTTCATAAATGATTGGCCAAGGACCGATGTGTATGTGGCTCCTTTATGCTAGTGCTTTAAATGCTGCTGACCCAAAGGCAAAGTTGAAGAAAGAGCTCAATGAAAATTTCAAATTGATTTCGTTAATTTGTTGTGCGGACTTTTTCTCCTGACATTATTTTTGCATTTAAATACAGATTTTTCGAGCTCCAACCCAAGCACGGGTGTCATTTTCCCAAACATCTAACACAACCCGCAATCATAAATATTTTTCACAGCGAAAAGGAAAAACAAAGGCAGGGCGAGTGCATTGCCAGACATTTGACAACGCTGCTGGGTAAACAAACATATTTGTTGCCATGGGATATTGCGGGGACTGAGATAAACTAGGGGGGTCATTTACCATTCTGGCTCTGTTATTCCGGTACTCCCCCACATACCCACCAACCAGATGAGCTCTCATTTGTTTGGCATACTTCTAGGTGTCACCCAGCATATGAGGCTGGTTAATTAAAGCAATGCGATGGCGGGGTGCTGTTAGCGTGGCAGCCAATTTGTTGCGCCGACTAACCAGGAATGTGGGTGCGAGTAGAAAAAAGAAAACCACTAGCAGGTACAGGTACGTACTCTGGCAGATGAAAGGCGTAGTGAGGTATTATTTTCCAAAAATTTGCTGTGGTTTTAAAGGGCTACCCAAGCAGGGTGCATGGAAATTTATATTTTTTATATCGGCACTCTCGTTTATCTATCAGTATCGTCAAAATATATTGCTCTGAATGGAGAACATATTTTACATATGTATGTATATGGTGGCGCCCTGCATCAGAAGGATAAGTTAGATTAAGTAAGAAATAGAATAGGAGCCCACATTATCTATAATTGAATTGTCTATGATTACCTTTTTTAATACATACATCAACAAACGGAATGTGGAAGTTGTGTTAGTTCCACACAAGCGAACCACCGAACGCCAACTTCTGTTGGAGCCTCGAGCATGTTCGATGGCAACTCGTTTTAACAGGACACACAATTAAATTCCCTCTGTTATAACATTTGTAGAGCTCTGTTCGGCTTTGGAGCATTCAAACAGTTTTTGCCATGTCCGCCAAAGAGGGTCCGTACTTCAGTTTGTCGTTGATTCTGCAAGAGTGCGGCTTAGGGACCGGATATATCAGAACGGTTTTGTTACGTGAAATATTTCAAACGTCAATTGCTGTAGTAATAAACATACATGGGCAAACCTTTTTATAGGAAATTAAATATTAATTCAGTAGATTAAACAAATTTACGTAAAATACACTAAAATAATAATGATTTAACAGCATCCATAAGTGAGAATTATATGTTATGTGTGACAAAATGTGAAAGAGAAATGATCACAAAATCGGATTTGTTTGGATCTCAATGAGTTCCCTCCATTATATTAATGGAAAATGAGTTTTAAATGCTAATGACCCGCAAAACAATGGATATGTGCAAGCATACGACACCCAAAGTTCTGTCCAAGAATATTTCCTTTGAGTGCTATTTGTATTGCAGAAGTAGTAGCCGTAGCGGAGTTCGGCAAATTCTTCACAAACAAAATAATAAATATGAATTCAAATTTAAATTACTGAAAATGTTAGTATCGCATGTGCCACCTGACTGACTCGCCAGTGCGTATGAAACGATTATCTTGTAAGTATTTTTGGAAGGGATATAACGACCAATAAGGTAGAGTCAATGAAGTCTATTTGCCACACGAACATTGGGTCTCATTTACTTGTGGCTGTTAAACAATAAAGCATTTTCAATTAATGAAATCAATTAAGTTGAATTCAATTGGTTTATTTGCCCGAGTGTCTCCAGTAAAATGTTGTTGGATAACATGTACAAATGTGCCACGGAATATTAATAATTGATGAAATACAGTTACGTTCGAGTACTAACTGGAGGAGTGTCTGCAGGGCCTAAATGGTTTACTTAATCATAATTCGATTGTTTGGTCACTCAGACTATTGTTTAAAGACAATGAGTGATTGACAATAGACTTATGATAATGTAATTTGCGGCAGAATAATTAGTGTTTCAATGAATTCCTAAAGGCATGTTTCTCAAGCGAGATTCCGAGGAAGGAAATCATCTGTATTATCACAAGAGGTTTAAATTTCAGATAAGAAAATATAAAAAGATACTAATACTAAACATAAAATTACCCATTTTCACCTTATAAAAAATCCCTGAAACTCATACAATCAAAAAATATATATATATATCTATATATAATCCTTCTACCCCCAATTCTCAATCTATTCATGGATTACCCTCAATAGCCGCTGATATGCAAACATAAAAAAAATGTGCCTCAGCACAAGCTATTTTCCATACACGAAAGCCATCTGCACCGATCCCATATGTATTTGCATAAAGACATCCGCCAGAGCGGAAAAACCCCACCATCAATTTGTCAATTGTCTTGGCAATGCAGTTGCCAACATTCTGGCCAAAGAGATTGATGATGATGCCAAAATACTTTCAGACTTTGAGCCGATTTTCTAGACTTTTTTTACGGCTGCCATAAAAAGTGACGGATAAGAAATTTGCATGGCTTGGGCTTGGGTTTCATTGCGGTTGCCTGGTCGTGGGCCTGTTCGATGCGGTGATTCTAATAAATTATCTGATACAACAACAATTTAAAAGTCATTAAATAAATTTTGTTGTCGCTGGCATTGTATTAATTTCGAGAGGACTCACTTTCATGGGTGGGTGGGATACTGGAGGAAGCGGACATCTCGCTCACACAATTTAGAGCTGACCCAAATGCATTTTTTTATGGTCCAGAATCGAAAGTCAAAGTAATTTAATTTTGGTTTCTCTTTTGCGCCACTTTTATGGCACACGCAGAGCCATGGCGTTGACAGTTTTCTTGGCGCTTTTTTATTTCATTTTTCCACTTTTTTACCCTATATTTGTGGTCTGAAAAGGTATACTGTAGTTCTGAATGTCTATGTAACAGGCAGAAAGAATAGGTATGCTTTTATGTGATGGCGGATAATCATTACAAGGCAGAATAAGGAAGTCATGTTCCCAGGTTCCCCAATAGGATCTGAACATTAAGTATCTCTTTGTCGAGTCACTTCACCACAACTTTTGCGTTTTTCTGCAATTCTGTTGTACTTTTAAGCTGTTTCTGGTACAAATCGTCAGCCAGGCAGAAAAGTTGACAGCCATGCTGGAAAATGTGCCATAGATAGGTCGGTGTCCTCCTGCGAGAGTCCAGAGCTTGGTGGCCGGAGAAAAATCGAGTGAAAAGTGCTTTTTTAACTTTGCCTTCATTAAAACCTTACAAATGGCGGCAAGTTAACAAGCCCAGAGACAATTTCAATGTAATTTGAAAGGGACTTTTATTAGCGCACTTTCCCCCAGCTCAGTTCGCAGACAAAAGCGTAAAAAATGCTAATTAAATCTAATGTAAATGCTGATTGTCCAACGCAGCAGGAGGAAAATCTACTGAAAGTGAGGAAAATTACACAAAAGTTGTATTTAATTTGAGCACTTTGACAGTGCAAAGTGTTGAAATGATGGAATAAATTGTTTCGCTAGAAGAAAGGCTGATATTCTGCATTATTTCATTTCTTTTGTATACATTTTTAGTGTCCCAAGCAGTTTACTTGGTAAAAGTTTACTGGAGTCCATGGCTTGAAGATCAAACATTTGAATGAAAAATCATTTCCTTAGCATTTCCCTTAACTCTTTCCCCATCTTTGACACAAAGTACGGCACTCGCCTCACCTCTCTGTAGTGGCTTTGTCAAACGGTGCCCCGTCAAAAAATTCTAACTATAAATGTCTGTCATATCGGATACACAATCAACAGGTCAAAAAACATTTAGTCTCTTGCTATCCTATACCTTCAAACATTTTTCCCTCATGTGTAGACACGCCAATGAAGAGTGGTTTTGTTTATAAAATAAAGTATATGATAACTGGAATATAACACTACTAGTAAAAACATTTCCTTTACATCGGTAAATCCTACAACAGAAAATCCAATGAAAAAGTTCGTTATATAAAAAAATAATTAAATAATTCCGATGAACCATCTCTCGACACAAAAACGAACCGATCTTTACTTTTCTCATCAGTTTCCCTTTGCACATCTCTTAACAACCCTCATCATCAAATAATGCCCAAAAAATCAATTTTTATAAGTAAATATATAAATACCCGACACAGCATTTACTGGATAAAACTTACGACCTCCCGACAAATGCAATAAAGTGATAAATATGAAAAATCAATGATTTTGTTGTAAATATCTTTTGATAGTGGAAAAACCCCGCCAATAAATAACTGCAGAGTAGAATTAAAAGCAAAAATAAAATTTTTTTTAAATCCGATGGGGGAAAATGAGGGAAAACAGCTGCAGAAAACACAAAAGCGAGCAAAGTGAAAGCAAACAAACTGCAAGCCGATAAAATTAAATGCTAATGGAAAACGGGAAAAACAATCAAATCTATTCGAAGTGAAGTGGAGGAATCGAAATTATAAATTAGAATACATTTTTTTTGATAATAGAGCATAAAGTATCTGATTAACTAAAGAGAACTTTAATCACAGAATGTGTGGAAATATGTTGAATAAAAGAGCAGGAAGGAGATTTATTGGATTTACACTGACTTGAGTTTTGGAATCTAAAATTAATCAGAAAATATTCATATATATTTATATGATTTATAGCGCAGAGAAAACCAACATACATATCAAAGGTATATTGCAAAAAAGAGCTATACATTTTTCTGACAAAGAAAATATTATTTAAGCTTTAACCAATCCAATACCATGTACCAAGAAATTCTTCCAACTCGATTTGAGGTCCACTTTTTTGGGGAAAAACGCTTGGCCAAGAACAACGGAAATTTGTAGCCACTTTGTTTGTTTGTTGGCTACTTTTTTTCCACTTCTGCCCCTACCACAGGTTCCTTCGTTGCCAGTGTTGCTGCTGCTTGTTGACAACAGTGACAGCGACAACGACATCAGTTTATTTTTTATCAGCTTTATGCTAATATATTTGAGGACACTTGCTGCAGCTGCTGCCTGTACCCAACCCACTGTCAACGGGACTTGTTTGGAATGTAGCCAAAGTTCAGATTGGTCTTAAAATATGAAAGCACTCGAGAGTTTCACAATCAAGCAGAAAATATTTTGGATTATTAAAAATAATTATTAACAGTGCACTGTGGTTAAAATTCCACTCACACAATCACATTTCAAATGAATCCTTTTATGGTGGACTAACAAAAACAGCAGGCTGCCATCAGCAGATTCTACTCAAATTATATTATGAATATTGGAGCTTGAGAATGGGGGAGGGGACGATATGCCCGGTCAAGGAAGGATAACTATGAAAGGACCAATAATTGCAACAATCAGCTACGGTCATACCACAGAGTTAACGAAGGACAAATTCAGGAAAATAAGAACAAGTAGCCCTGCTGTTGGTTGAACATTCCATTTTCCTTTAAATTGTACTCCATTTAATATTTGTTTACAATATGCGTACTTTGGCATTCAAATCTCAGACACAGCCTCGACCTTTTTCGAATATCTTTACAGTTTTCAATATAGTCGATTGAATTTTTTTTGTGATGTAAAAATATTCCATTTATTTTTTGCTCTTGAGCATAAAAAGGGCATTCAAACGGAATAAAATGTGTCAGCCTGATGGATGTTTCCCTGCCTCTCTGTCTACCATATCTTTCACTTCTACTAAGGCACTTTTCCTGCCTCTGCATCTACTATGTCCCACCCTTCTCCTGAGGCACTCAATATATATGTACTCATAAAAAAGAAAAACTTGCGTTGTCAATATTAAAATTGAAAATATTTCATTGGCCAGCCTTCCGTATGGATTTGATCCTGCAGTCTGTCGACATGATTGGAATTATAATAAGCTCTCTGCCAAAAAAAAGAATAAGGAAGAAAGATGTATTTCTTTTTCTTCTTTGTCTATAGCCTTGGATACCCAACAATGTGGGGCTGTCGGGAAAGAAGTGGGCGTGGCAGGCATAACTTGTAGTTAACTGTGTACAAGTTGTTGCCGAATACGAGTCTATATACCATGAGTTTTGGGTGTGTTCCGCCTTTGTTGCGCTCACATGAGCATGGTACTCGTAATGTACGGCTGCCCCAAAATGTAGGCAACACAAAATGTGTATTTGTATGTATGCATGCAGATAAGCCAAGAACCGGTCTCACACAAACAAACACATAGCACGGCACACATAGATAAACCAGAAGCCATACAGATGTACCACACGTATATAAAAAAAATGGGAAAAGATTTTATATCCTATAACTTCTGTTGCTTCAATCCACAGATCTGTTTATAGACAAATTTAAGAATGTCTTTCCTATAGTAGCAATATAAAATGGTGGTCAGATTTTATTATTTAGCTGCAAAGATCCCATAAAAATTCAAATGTAATGCAAATGAAAGCACCATGAGCCATATTTTTGTACCAACTCTTGTTAGGGCATTTATTTTTTTCCATAATTGTAATTTTACAACTGTTGTTGACTGGATTATGTTGTTTTGGGGGTTCCTTGTAACATACACATTACCATATGTGAAATTTCGAATGTAAATGTGGCTTGTCCAATATGTTTGTTCAGCTAGCTATAGTTTTCCCCTAAAAATTTGTTTAAAGTATTATTGGTCCAACCACCGGAGATTTCTATTCACAGCTCATTCATAACTTCACTTAACTACTTGCCAATCGACTACGTTAAATCATATAGACGGACAGCCGAGAGGATACTCTCGTATTTGCTAAACCGCTAAGCCTGTAATCTCTTCTCTGTTGTCACTGGATTTGGCCACATTAAAATGGAGATTGCACACAGAAATGATTTATTATGCATGACTTATGTAAATAACATTGATTTTCGAACGATTTCTGCTTCTGGCATTGCCATTAATTGCTGCCACTCCGGAACTTCCTTTTAAGCAGAACCCACGTCCGTACTTCAGACCCTGCCTTATTCGATTTATGTGTCTGCATATATTTATTATTTAATGCACAGCCTGTTGATATCCGTATTTTCAATGTCGACTTTGAATTCGTTTCTGTCTGGTATAAGGTTTAAAGGGAAGGTTTGGGTTTGGGAAGAATACAATTGTTAATTGTTAATTGGTAGTAGCCCGCGGGCTCAATTTTGATTTTAAGATTTAAAAAAAAAGCCATAACGCTCTAAAGTCTTTCAATAGTTATCTAATTTGTTTTAATAAATATCAAAATAATTGAGTGTTTCCGACCCCAAAACGGAAAACCAACATAAATCAATGTGCATAAACAAAGAGACCAGAAAGATTACATATTTGTACACTTTCTCTGGATTAAGTTCAGAGTTCATCTTTAATAGCCACAAAAGCAAAATATAAATAGTCGCCCTTTTTACTCTGGGCAAGAAGAAATCCAGGCCAAAAATGATTATTCAAGGATGACCCTGAACCAATCTATACATCATTGATGATTGTTTTTTGGGTTTTCCGGTCTTAACGCGTCTATAAATCAATTCTGATTTCGGTTGCTGGTTTGGTCTTAACGCAACTGTAGTGATTTAATGATTGCCATCGACCCAAGCAATAGGCAACCGTCCCCTTCCTGCCCATCATGGCTTTTCGGTTACGCCCTTATTGATGATGCGCACATGACTATGGGCTGATGAGTAGCAAGTGGACCCAAAGGGATAATTGCCGTAGCCATAACCACCACATCCCCACAAACTTAGATACACTGACATTGGACGCAGTTGTAGGAAGACACCATTGATTTTAGCAGTTGTGCGAGAGCCACACGGCGTATGAGTAATGTGTTGCGGTTGCGAATCCATTTTTTGATTTCCTTTTTTTGTTGCAGGAAGAGAGGAAAGCCCAAGAACTAATCAGGCTGGTATAGCTAGGCCTATCCAAAAGGATTAAAATGGAATACGAGTGCCATACGAGGGTCAGTGCGCGCCAGTCGAACGTCTAATCCTACACGAAATTGACCTTTGATTGGAGGAAAATCAGCCCCACTGTCACCAACGTGCATTAAGCAGGAACAGGAGGCCGTCCAAAGGACACACCACCCCCGAAGCAGCCAACCCACACAACGACAAATGTCGCCATCATCGGCCTCGATGCTGCCGCCACTCCAGCAGCAGCAGAAACTCCGACCGCGACGACTGCTGCCTGGAGAACGAGCCGGTTGCATCTCTCGAGGCGGCAAATGGTGGCATTTTCTCTCTGGATGCCGGCAATCTGACAGCGGAGACAGCTTTCCTTGCCGCTGGCCCCGGGGGCCTGGGAATACGCTACAGGCGGCGACACAGCGCGGAGAAGTTGAGTGCATAAGACTTGAAAATATGGTTTCAGCAAATCGAGGTGAGTGTTTACTACAGTGGATTCCGAATTCCCAATCATTTTTCATTCATGACATTCAATGGTTTTCCGGAAAGCTCCTGCACCCCAAGAGCAACTCGAAAGCCATTGTGGATGTTCATCAAATCGATTTTGTTTGTTTTTAAATATTTATTTTTAGTTTTTGAAACAATTTATTTACCGGAAAACATCCAGGCAAGAACACACATTTCAAGGGTTTCAAATCATAATTCAATTAAATATTTTCACAAATAAACGACAGGGCAATCACGAGTTTTCCCTAAATAGATATTTCAGCATATAAAAGAAGATTTGTGGACCAGTTCTAAAAATGTATGATCTTCGCTTGAAACGGAGATTCATGCTGATGCTTCAAAATTCGGATTTGGAGCAAGCTTCTGCGAAATTACGGTGATAATTTGTGGCAGGTCACTTTTCTTGGGACTTAACTGAGAAGTCATACTATATTCCCAAGCTCAGGGACAAAGTTGTAGAGTGCACCCTTATAAATGGTTTTCTTACACCAATCGATAAACGCGATGATCCGCTGGTTACAATCTATGTTGATCATGGTAACCCGATGGGGTTGACCAAAAACGTTATACTCACATTTTCGTGATTGTAGATGCCTTTTCAAAGCACAAGAGTTGAAGAAGTTGTCAGTTGTTATGAGCGACTTTTCCGATGGCGGAGCTGCTTTCACATCGCATCTGTTTAAGGCGTACCTAGGGGAAATGGACTAGTCGAAAGTATGCATAAGATAGTTGTCGCAATGTTGTCTTAAATTAGTTATGAAAGTCCAGGATGCTGTTGTAAGCCATTTAAACTGCTCACTGCGTATTTCAGGTGCTATGTAGCTCAAGGAATTCCTTCAGAAATGTGTTATTTCAGATGATGAAAGAATTAACTTGAGAGGCAAGAGAGAATATTCAGAATATACAAGCTGAGAACAAGAGAGTTTTTGGCTCCAAAAAAAGGAAGAAAATAAGTTTAAGGTCAATGATGTAGTAGCTATAAAAGGGAACGTACTTGGGCTATATAAAGTAGTCATAGCTAATAACCATGGCCGATACGAAGGTCGTAGGAATGGTCGGAGGAGGAGAAGGGCCGTACAAAACATCGACCGTTGCTGAGTAAATGAAGGCCTAACTATAGTTTAATATTCAGTACTAATTTCAGGGTATCATACTTATTGTTGATTCACTCAACTACACGTATTATTCCCTCTCATTTTTATTATGCTGTGTAGAGTTTTATTTTTCTTTTATTTGTTTGCAGGAATTTGGCTTCCAGCCTCAGGGCGAGCACCTGATCACCGGATGTGATGGATCCGCAACCAGCAGGAGAAAAACGAGGAGCACGAGCACCACGATCACCACGAGGCACTCTTTCCACACACACACACATATAGTATAGACGCCATACATCCACATCAACATAAACATGCTCTTAGACCGCTCGACTCGTTGTCGACTCGGATGACGTCCACATTTGTTACCAGAGATAATTATAATTTAATAAAAGAAAAAGAAAATTTAATATTGTTTTTTATACTATCAAATCCTCTGCTTAAGCTCCAGAGACAGCTCCAGGGCCATTCAGCTCCCAGTTCCCTTCGGGTCCCAGCTGACGACCATCATGCATCTCGGGTTGAGTGTATCTCTGAGATTTCCCTTTAAGAGTGCGGTTTCGGTCCTAACAAAATGTTGAGGAGTTCGTATATCGGGATTATGCAAACCATTGATGGCACTTATTTGGGGCATCAGCAACAATAGCGGAGTCGATCTGTCTGCCTTTTTTGAAAAAATTATAAGATTATAAGAGTTAGAGCAACTAAATTCTATCTCTTTCTCCGACGAAAGATGTAACGGCTCGTGTTGGTGTGAGATGAGGGAGAGAGAGAGACACATGAAGCGGAATGAAAAACAGTAGCGGAAAAGATTCTTTAGGTGGTAAGCAGATAAACGAAGTAAAGGTCGTGGAACTCTCGTTCTCTCCATGCTTTTTGTTTTCCTCATAGCATGTGCGAGCTAAATTGAGAGATTGGTATTCTTTTTCTCTGCGTGTTTATGGCACAGTTTGTGCCATACAAAATTCTTGAACTTAAATGAGTTGTTAATTTTCCATTTTCATAAGTCCACATTTACCATATGAACAATCTACACTTTTGTATAAATTATGTGGAGAACACTCATAAACACTTCGTCAAACACCCCAACACTCATATTTATACTCACTTACAAGGACATGCAATTAAAACGACGACAAGCAGCTTAATTAACAATGTTCCCACTCGTAGGACCTCGCCCACTCCACCCACTCCACTCCGCTTCACTCGATTTTTGTTGTTGAATTTTGTTTACTGTACTTGTAACCTCCCACTGACAATGTATGCAACCTTCAGAGTGTAGGACTTTTGGCCGCAAAAAAATATATGCAATCCAGATCTTTATGAAAATCTGCTATAGTATCTTCCTGGTCCGACTTAGGTATAGGACTCTCACCAATCCGCTCCAGTCCATTGCTGGCCCGAACCGGCGGGTCAGACCGGGCACGTTGCTCAAGTTAAACGTAGCGCATGAGTCCTTAGACCCTGTGGATTGAATGAAAGTTCCCATGCATGCTAAATATGCAGAGCACTACGTGTCCAGGTCCGCGTCCTCATATGACTTTGCATGGGAAATCAGGAGGCGGGAAGCGAGCCAGGCAGGCAGTCGGACGGGCAGCCAGCAAGATGGCTTATAATTTATACCGTTCGTAACTATTTCATTGACGGTTTGCCAGTTGGCCGTGCTGGCGCCTCGTTAAAATTTCAGCCAAGTCACGTGGGTCCATGCATCCATCTCTCCTTCTAACCATCCCATCCCAACCATTGGCAACGTCTAACTAACTTCCGTAATCAAATAAATCGTTCATTTCGAATCCCTTCGCTGTGCCTGGACTGTCACCATGCCAGTGTGGAGCCATCGAGGACCGAAGTTCCACTGTTGAGCGGTGGAGTGGCGTGGCGTAGTGGAGTACCGCCACAGCCATTCTGGAATCACCCGCGATAGCGAGACTGAAAATCACGGTGAGTTTTAACTTTCCAAGCGCAGAGGTCCAATTAAATCCACACCAAGGCGAAAGCAAGAATTTAGTTCGCTGAGTTCCAAACCGAGACAAAACCCAACGACGTCGAGGAACAACAATCAGAGGAACGTGCGCCAACATTATTTTGGGGAATAAATGCTAGAAATTAAAATAGACTACAATTTTATAGGCAAATAACGTGGCAAATCGGTTCGTTCATAATTTCGCTAGAAAATGGCGTTGTGAAACTTTAATTGGAGTTGAAGCACAGCACTGAGATTTCTGGGTAATATTCGTCCCCAAGGCAAATGGAAAATCAGATGAGCAAAACATTAATTCAAATTACATTTCCATAGAGCGGCAAGAATGCATTTCAATAAATGATTTAAAGTTAGCATTCCATCAACTCAAAATTATAAGACCGAAACTCAGCTGAAGTTATCGTAATGGAATCTATGTACATTGTACATATTCGTGGTATTATAATTTTCTCAAAGAAGACATGGCAAAAGCCAGAAATAACGATACTGCATCTTATGCCATGTGCATCTACTTTTGTGCGTGGGTCTGTGTCCCTATATGCAGTGTCATTGCATTTTGTAAAAAGTTAGACAGCAGTGCTTGACGCCATTTTAGATGCATAAAGAATCAAAGGTTTGCTTGTACTGGTGGAACATGTAAATACCCTTGCATTCCTTTCGGATGAATCTGTTGACCTACTGTACTTCTGATAGCAGAATCATGGAATACTCCTTCTATGGACTACAAACATCCACCCCAAATCATGCTTTCCTTAGCAAGGACATAACCATAAAGATTCTGCCACACCCACCTCATCCAATGCAGGCCAAAAGAGTCCTTTGCCTTAAGAAACTTTGCTTTTCCTTTTTGCGCCATCATTTTCTCTTAGTCTTCTCACATGTATGTGTGTCTGTGTGTATGTGAGTTTGTGGGAAATCTTTTTGCCTCGACGCTGGACCCGATGCCTAGGATATTTTTTCGTGTCAGCAGATATTTATGATGCCTAATGCATTTTAGTGCCATTTTCGCGTTTTGGTACTTCGGTTTCTAATCAAATATTGAAAAATTTAATGGATATACTCTGCCTAAATGGTATTTTTTCGGAATGAAATTAAAGTTGAGGCTTTGTTTAAGGCTCTTAAAGTTAGGTTCACTTGGGAGTTCTTTATTAAATTTAAAAAAGTTTGAATTAGCCATTCAGTGTGGCCTCTATCTCTGCAACATTTTCTGTTCCATGTTGGCATAAAAACGAAAGTTCTATGGCCTTCTCCCTACTTTTGTTTAAACAAAGGTTTACCTCTCGAAAAAAGGAAGAGTGGTGGACGAAAAGGGGGATGACCACGCCCAAACAACCACAGTTTCGCTGCAGTTGGCCCAATTTCATCAGTTTTATGTAGTATATTTACTCACTTATTTGGCACATCGCCCGCACCTTTTGCCTGGCTGCCATCTTTCCAGCCCTCCTTCAAAAGAACGCAGCGTGTTGCCGTGCATTCAGCGGCAAATGAAGCTAGTTTTCATTAAAAAACTTTTTAATTATTAAATGGATTCCACGCTTTTTCCCTACACTTTTTTCTCGCACTTTTTACCTTTGTTGCCGGCACATTTTCGCGCCAGGCACTGCCTTCATTTTACCATTTAAAAATGTGGACGAAAAAAAATGAAGTTAAAAAATACTTAATGGCTCTTTTTGATGTTTCGAAGCTTTTGGCTTTCAGTTTCATATTTGTTACGGCACTGGTATTATTGGATTTGGCACGGACTGTTTTACGCTTAGTAACTTTTGTGGCGATTATATTGGATTAGCTGGAAGATGGCAGCAGGGCGAAGTGTCTTTCCAAACCGAATTCCATCATTAGCTTTAAAAATTTTTATCACACCTACCTTGAATACTTTAAATGTTCTTCAGGTTTTCGAAAAACTTTCCCGACTTTTATTTATAGTCCTCATTGTTGTTGCATTTCGTTGGTCATAAATTGTACAACGCCCTGTGCACTGCCCCGGACAATGCGCAGCGGAAAAAAATTCAAGGGAATTGCATAAATTTACAGAACTATGCAAAATGATAGCTGTGGATAGTTTGTGCCGTGCACATTGTGTTCCAGAGAGAGATGTATGTATATCTAAATATACATTTCTATAGTGGCTGCTGAAATGTTTATGAGTGTTGCTGACTGCCGCCACAAACAAAGGTGGTTGCCCACAAGGGAAATTTGTAAGTATGCTGCAGAAAATAAAACAAATTTGCTTCTTAACTCCAAAGGGATGCCTTTGGTTCACGGAAAGGTTCCCTTGCATAAGGCCCATGATGGCTTTAGAAATCCTAATTGATATGTTATCAGCGAGAGACCAAATGTCGCACATAAAATTCGATCAAAATCTTTTCTCACACAAAAAGAACAACCATTAACTTGTACAACACACACCAACGTACACCAGAAAAGACGGAGTAAACAAACAAATACAAAGCAAATAAAATGGTGGGAAAGTCAGGGGAGATTACAGCTATTACCTATCAAGATTACAGCTTGTTCCTTTATGGATTTCGATTTGATTACAGTGGGGCAAATTGCAAGTGACGTGCCAACAATTGGATTGCAGGCAGCGACATTCCGAGGGACATGGTCATTTGTGGCAGAAACAGGCAATCGTCTTAAATGAACAGGGTCAACCACAAAGTCTCAAGACTGATAAGCAGGCCAAGTACAAGTCATCTGATCTGGAGGAGAACCTACCACATCAATGGACTTAGATGAGAGACCGTCGACAAGTGCGAGTACGAGTGGGCGAGCAGTTGACATAGCAGGCACTTCCGGTATGAATGCAAAGTCGGCACCGGAAACAGCGACAGTGCCTGTGGCTGGCAACAGCAATGCGGAGCAGCCACCAACATCATTCCATGCCACACCATTAACGGGAGCGGCACTGGGCAAACCCAATGATTGGGTTGTTATTCCTGTGTTTGCGGATATGGTTAAATTGGCATTGGGCGAAAGGGAGAACTGTTTGCAGCGGTAAGTTGAATTTGCCTGGAACCCTCCCAATTTGATTGATATTACATCATTACTCATCCTGATGCTATACGATGCCTTTTCTACCGAAGAGAAATAAACAAGGGAACGTAATCGTATAAGCTTAAAAAATATAACACCAATGCAAAAATCTAATATAGCTAATCCCATTTAATCGATTGGCTTTTATATAAAAAGAGTGATTAAAATGTCACCAACGGTGTCAGAGTTTAACAGTAGTTATAAAACACAGAAGCCGCTTCAAATCCAGTACCAAATTAATATCTTCGGCAAAGTTTCTATGGTTAATATATTGCTCTATAAGCAATTGGATTTCGCATTCGGGTTTCGTTTGAAAATATATATTCATGCACTCATTTATATTTATATTTTATTATGTTTGTTTTAAATTTAATTAACTACAGAGGGGCTAAATAA